GTCCGCGTGTGCCTCTCACCTCCCAGCAGCTGCACGACTGGTACGGTCGCCGTCAGGGTCGCGCTTATGGAGCTCGGGGCTCTGCCGCTGGAGGTACTTCTGCTGACGTCACTGGAGCTGGGAGTGGTGCTGGTCCCGGAGGTGCTCGTACTGGAGGTACTGGAGCTGCTGGGGCTGGAGGTGCTGAGTCTGGGGGTGCTACTGCTGGAGACACTGAGACTGGAGACCCTGAGACTGGAGGTGCCGGTTCTGGGGGTGCTGCTGCTGGTGGAGCTGAACCTGGAGGAGCTGGCGCTGAGGGTTCTGGAGCTGCTGGAGCTGCTGGAGGTGCTGGAGCGGCTGGCGCTGGTGGCACCGCACAGCCGCGCCTGTTCTTTGCTCCACCGTCTAACTCTGTGCTTCGCCAGGTTCTTAGTCTCCCTTCGTCTACTGGTCTTCCGTTACAGCCTGGCTCACCGGTGCCTGCTCCTTCTCCATACACTGAGCAGACAGGGGGTTTTACTGAGCGTCGTGAGCCTGCGTCGCGTCCTGTCTCGCCTGTCCATTCTGGTAGTTCCGGTCGTCGTTTTCCTCGTTCGCGTCAGCCGGCTGTCCCCGGCACCCACCTCGTAGTTCGTCGTCCTTCCTCTCCTCCGCAGCGTGTTCCCTTGCCGTCCCCTCCTGCGCCTTCTCTGCCTACCGTTCTTGAGCCGGAGTCTGACCGCACCCGTGCTGCTCACCCTACTGTCACGCGTCTGCTAGCCACAGTTGTCACTGACCCGTCGTTTGAGTCTGCTGCTGCGTCTGCCTTTGTTGCTGAGCTTGTTGACTTTGCTGCTGCCTGTCGTCTAGACTACGCCGCTAGTCTTGTTGCTGAGTCTGAGTCTGTCTGTCCTCCGTCCGTCGGGGGTGAGTGTGCTCTTGGCACGGACGTCCTTGAGGACAGACAGGAGGACCTTGAGTGTCTTGCAGCCGCTGCGCCTCATCTCGTGTCCATGCTGCTTGCCCCTGAGGGAGACCCGGATGCTCCAGACATCCCGACCCCGCGCTCTTACGCTGAGGCAATCGCGGGTGAGTACCCCTCTCAGTGGCAGACAGCCATGGACGCAGAGATGGCATCCTGGAAGTCCACAGGCACCTACGTCGACAAGGTTCACCCTCCTGGGGCGAACATCGTCAGTGGCATGTGGATTTTCAGGGTGAAGCGGCCGCCAGGTTCTCTGCCTGTCTTCAAGGCTCGTTACGTTGCTCGAGGTTTCAGTCAGCGAGAGGGAGTTGACTTCTTCCAGACCTTCTCCCCCACCCCGAAGATGACCACTCTTCGGGTGCTGCTGCACGTTGCCGCTCAGCGTGACTACGAGCTTCACTCTCTTGACTTCAGCACAGCTTTCTTACAGGGCAGCCTGCACGAGGAGATCTGGCTGCGCCGCCCTCCTGGCTTCACTGGGTCGTTCCCTCCTGGTACCCAGTGGAGCCTCCGGCGGCCGGTCTACGGTCTCCGCCAGGCGCCGCGTGAGTGGCACGACACACTGAGGACGACACTTGCGGCTCTTGGGTTCGCGCCTTCTACTGCTGACCGGTCGCTGTTTCTGCGCACCGACACTTCGCTGCCGCCGTTCTACATTCTCGTGTATGTCAACGACTTGGTCTTTGCCACTGCTGACACTGAGGCTCTCGCCCTGGTGAAGTCGGAGCTGCAGAAGAGACACACGTGCACAGACCTGGGTGAGCTGCGCAGCTACCTTGGCTTGCAGATCACCCGGGACAGAGCACGCCGCACCATCAAACTGACTCAGTCACACATGGTGCAGAAGGTCCTTCAGCGCTTCGGCTTCACCTGGTCCTCGCCACAGCACACTCCTCTGGCCGCAGGCCACTCGCTCTCAGCTCCACCTTCGGACGAGTCCGTAGAGCCGAGTGGCCCGTACGCAGAGCTAGTGGGCTGCCTCATGTACCTGATGACCTGCACTCGACCTGACCTTGCGTACCCTCTTGGCCTTCTGGCTCGCTGCGTGGCTCCTGGTAGGCACCGAAAGGTGCACATGGATGCTGTTAAGAGGGTACTGCGCTACTTGTGCAGTACATCGGGCATGGGCCTCGTGCTTGGAGGGCGGAGCCCATTTGTCCTCACTGGGCACTCTGACGCTTCTTGGGTTGATGACCTTGCTACGCAGCGGTCGTCACAGGGTTACACCTTCAGCCTTGGCTCTGGTTCAGTTTCCTGGTGTCTACACGCTCGTCTTCAGTTCTCGGCTCCAGTTGTGAGGCTGAGATCTACGCCACAGCCATGGCTGCACAGGAGCTTCGCTGGCTCATCTAGCTGCTGACCGACCTGGGAGAGCGGCCTCGTTCTCCTCCAGTGCTGTACGTCGACAACAAGACTGCCATTGCCTTGTGTCAGGAGCACAGACTGGAGCACAAAACGAAGCACATCGCTCTGCGTTACTTCCTTGCTCGAGAGTTGCAGCAGCGTGGTCAGTTTCGTCTTGCTCACATGGCCACTCGGGCCAACACTGCTGATATATTCACCAAGGCACTTCCGTCTGGTGATCATCAGCGTTTTTGTACTTTGTTAGGCCTTGTGCCCACGTTTCCTCACTTGCTGTAGACTTTGCTTGTACTGTGATCTATATATATATCTGCATGCTTGCTTTGCTAGGTAGAGATCACTGTGCTGTTGTTGTTGCATATATACCTCTGCATGTGAACTGGCCTTGTGGCCCTTTGCTTGTGCTCAGTGTGTGTGGTGACGTTGTGATCCACCCTGAGCTTGCTTTGCTTCTCTTGACTGGTCTTGTGACCCCTTGTTCTCCCCCACTTTGCCTATGGGGGTGTGTCAAAGCATATGCATGTTATATATATGTAGGCTGTAGTGGGGTAGCCAATATGGGGTACAGCCCCTTTTAGGGTTTCATACTTGTACCCAACTCTTTATAGTTCATTCATTCCTGCTGCTAGATTCTAACAATACCAGTGCTAGTGGTGAGCTTGTTCATCCTCTCTCTTCCCACCTTCTCTTCTATTCTCGCAAATCTCCTCTCCATTTCTCTTCCATTCCTTCAACTTCCTCTCCTGTACTGTATGTTTCTGGGCATACAGCTTATACAGCATGATTCTGAGGTACGGTACCAACCTTCTCTTATCCCTACTCCCAACTAATCAGCCCTTGCTTGGTTCTTACCTCCCCCTTCCACAGGTCATCGAGGCATGCTCCCACTCTACACTTTGATCCTTGCAATCGCAGCTGTTCTCACACTTAGAGCGTGGAAGATCCGTGTGAACAAGTCTTTGGTTGCCCGATTACGACGGTAACCACTTTCGCGACTCTCGTCATTTTCGGAGATTCTGATTTGCAATCTAGAGTGGTATTGTGTGTTACCTGACGAAATTCGCCTGAGGCCAAACGATCAAGTGAAGATACCAAAACACTTGTTCATAAGGATCTCCGATTTCGGTTTATACTATGGTACTTCTGGAGGTTGTGAGCAGCCATTGGTGCCGGGTGCGCTATTGATGTCTAATTGCATCGAGATATCCATGACTATCTATGGTACAATGACAGGGTCACTTCAGAGGCCCGGGCTATCAGAGTGCACAGGTGGAGGGCCATATCTGGGTGAGAAGAAAACATCTTACCAGTCCCAGGACTTCAACATTGTCAATGGACAGGTTTTGCTGGCTTCAGTGTTGAATAACCTTCGCAAAGCTAGACCTACCGTATTCAATTATTCCTCGACCTTTTCCTTACCCTTGGGCTGGCATGTGAGCTTGTGCGAGGGCCAGTGGGCCCTCTGGCACTCCCTGCTGCAGTAGGCAGCCTTGCCACACCGCGAGCATAGCTTCAGCTGCACCCCCGCCCCTTCCACCTTGCCACACTGTGCCGACGCACACCCACGCCGCCCTCCCTTGTCACCGTGTCCCTCAGCTGTAGCAGCACCAGCAGCGTCAGCAGCGGCAAGGGCGTCCACCTTCCCCTGGGGGCAGTAGCTGGTCTCCCCCAGCAGCATCTCCCTCAAACACGCCAGAGGATTCACCCCCCCCGGCCACGGCTCCAGGTACGACGCCCCTGCCCTCCCCTTCTCCTTCCCAGCATCCTTCCCGGCAGCCCTGAGAGCTTCATCTTCCATGATCGCACGCCTCATGCCCTCACAGCAATCCTCTGACTCCTCTCTCCCCACACGCCCCACTCCTTTCCCTCCTCCCATCTGCAGCGGCGAGTCGTGGGCCTCCACAGCAGGCCACGCTCTCCCAGCCGCAATGCACCAGCTGTCCACCTCCTCCCACATCCTCCACTCCTCCCCCCCCTGCTGCTGCTGCCCCCCCCCTTCCCCATCGGTGTCGACAGGTTCCAGAATTTTTGGAATGGCGTTCTCCTTGCTCATGTGCAGCATGCCCACGAAGAGCAGCCTCAGGCGCTTCTCCTCTGCCACGCCTTCCAGCAGCGGCGCCACCAGTGAGTCCGGGACCACCGCAGGGACAGGAGGCACGTGTAGCTTCTCCAAGAGGGATTCGAAGGTCGCGGAGCGGGCCGGGGAGAGCGAGAGGAGGCAGTGCAGCAGCGCGGATGAGGGGCGGTAGGCGAAGGACGCGGCGATCGCTGTGTGCTTCACAGCCCGGTAGTATTGGCAGAAGCAGCGGTAGCAGCGGCTGCAGGCAGGCACGGGAGAAATGGTGTCCGCGATCAGCTTTATAAACGCCTCCACCTCCGTTCTGGACCGTAGGATGGGCTTGATCCTCCCCTCTGCATACGGCCCCAGGGCCAGAGCAGCCTACGCTCGATCCCCGAGGCCCAAGCTGCCAGCCCAGGAGGTGATAGCCTCAAACAGAGGGCCCTTCCTGCCCTCCCTTGCCAGCTTCTTGGGGGCGAACCTTCTCAGAAACTCCTCCACGCGGTGGCCCAGCGTGGGGAAGAAGTGACCGTTCGAGGTGTCCCGCAGAGTGCTCCCGACACCAGGGCTGCGATGGGAGGTGGACGCGGCGCCCCGGCGGGGCAGGTTCGGCCGCCCTACGTTGTACTCCGTATGCATCTCCTCCTCGTCCAACCCCATGCCACCGCAAAATGCCCCCACGTGGAAAGTGTTGGTGAGGAGGGGGCAGAAGAGGTGGTGGTGGATGAAATGGGGGAGATGGAAGGGGAAAAGGCCGAGGTGAAAGGGGAAGCGGAGGTGGTGGAGGGAGGGGAAAAGATGGAGGTTAAAGTGGAAGGTGAAGGGTTGGAGGTGGTCGAGAGTGTGGTGAAGGAGAAGGGAGGAGGTCAGGCAAAGGAGAAAGAAGAAGGTGAGGTGCGGGAGGGGGACGAAGGAGAAGCAAAGAGGGAGGTGGAGGAAGGGCACGATGGGGCGAGTGAGGGAGTCAAGGGAGGGAAGGAGAAGTCAGGGCGTGCAAGTGAGGAGCCGTCTGAGAGCAAAGAATCAGGGGCAGAAGGCTCGACTCTGCAAGGCGAAGGCAGTGGGACGGAGGAGGAGGAGGCTGGGTCCAAGGTGGGAGGTGAGGCAGTAGTTGAAGCAAGCTCAGAAGGGAGCGGAGCAGGTGAGGGCAGGCAGGGGGCTGCTGCGTCAGAGGTGGTTGTAGCGGCACCTGAGGCTCCTCCTGCGCTGCCAGAAGCGCTGCTGTCAGTAGAGCAAGCAGACTTAGGCAGACCTCTGCGCCTGTACCCGGCTGGTTCCTTCCCCCTCCTCCCACCTGCTTCGGCTCCTGTAGCAGGCGAAACAGGAGCAGCAGGTGAAACAGGAACAGCAGGTGCAGCGGATGTAGAAGGTTCAAGAGATGCAGCAGACGTAGCAGATGCTGCAGGGGTTGGGATTGGCAAAGCAGCAGCTGGGCCGCCGTCGCTCTTGACGATCAGTCTCGGGGGGAAGGTGGCAATTGGGGCAGGGTCAACTGTGAGGCTGTGGGAGGCGGATGACATAGTCCCTCGCACTGCTGCCAGTACAGGAGCGGATAATGATCACGCCCTGTCCCCTGAATCCGGGATCCTTCTCTACCTCTGCCACTGTCGCCCTGTCCCCTTCCGGAAAGTCCTGCCAAACCGCCCTTGCCAGACCTTCCTCGCCTGTGGCGGCCGGAAGCTTGGGCACGCCGAACCTCTGCAGCAGGTTCGGTAGGTCGTGAAGTGGATGCGGGAGCGCGGTGGCAAACCCTTGCGGGCGTAGCATCTGCAGTGCTCAGAAGAATTGACCCTGGGGCCATAAAACCGCACCCAGCGCAGCAGGCAGGTGACTCGGTACGTGAACAGTGCCACCACCGCGTCACTGTTCACCGGCACCAGCCTGGCGCCAGCGCCGGCGCCGCTTGCACTGCTGGACCCTTTGGTCCTCGGACCTGTAGACCCAGCAGCAGTAGCAGCAGGAGACACTGTTGGAGCCTCTGGTTCCACTGCTCGCTTCCCCCGACCCTGCACTCCACTGCCCTCTGTGCTTCTCTCCGCCGCTGCCAGCCTGTTCACTGCTCCCTCCACGGCAGCGTCTTCCACGCTCTCCTTGTGGCGGTGGGCAGCACAGTCGGAGAAGACGAGAGCAGCATTGTTGGCGAACATGGGCTCGCAAAAGAGAGTGGCGCACTTGAGGGCGAACTCTGTGGGGTCCACACCCGATACCACCATGCCGCTGCTGCCGGGTGGGACTCCCACAGCCGCAGTCGCTCTTCCCTCGGTGCCCTCTCCCTTACAACACTGCGAGCAGCAGCAGCGGTACTGCTCGCCTACCAGCCCTCCCTGGGCGGCAATCTCCCCCACGCGTTCCACATACTCCTCCCACTCCACCCCCCTCAACCCGTCCTTCCACTCCTCCCCCTCTCCCACCTCCCCCCCCCGACTTTCCCCTTCCTCTCCCGCCTGCCCATGCGCGTGCCTCCCCCCGGCAGCAGCGGCAGCAGGTGGGCAGCAAAGCCGGTCTCCAGCTGCTGCTTGCCCTTCACTCCCAGCACCTGCAGCAGCAGCGACGCCACACAGTCATCCTGCGCCTGCCGCCCCGCACCAAACTGAAACGCCAGGTGGGGAAAGATCACAGAACCAGACTGGACGTGCGACCGCCAGAGAGTGACGAAGCGGGGGAACTTGGCGACAAGCACGATGAAAGCAGCCATGGACACGGCACGGCGGTAGCGCGTAAAACAGTCACTGCACAGCCAGCAGCACCACCACAGGCGAGGGCTACCTGCCGCCCTCGTGCCTCTAGCCCCAGCAGTGCCTCTGGCCCCAGCGGTGCCTCTCGCCCTGGCTGCCGCACGCGCAGCAGCTATATCATGCATGCTCAGATGATCTGCCAGCTGGCGCCTGAGATTCTGGAGGTCCAGTAGCAGGCCGACACGTGGCTCTGCCAGCCATTCGAGCATCATCCCCTCTGCTGCCACCACAGGCGCCGCGTCCACCTTCCACCGATACTGGTCTGCCAAGGAAGGTGCTGCTGTGCGCTCTTCAGCAGCAGCACTGGCAGCAGCAGCTGCAGTAGAGGCGCCAACGCCAGCAGTGGCACCGCTTGGAGGGCGGGGAGGAGGGGCGGAGAGCGGGACGGTGGCGGAGTAGGCGGTGATGGCGCGCGGGGGCTTATGGCCGAAGCGGAAGGGCGGCATGGCGGGCGGCACGGGCTGCTGCAGGTGCTTGCGCAGCGAGGCGAGGCTTGAGATGCGGAAGGTGATGGACGGGGCGGGGCGGAGCATGCGGGGGAGGCAGCAGGCGCGGAGGGAGTGCGACCACGGCAGGTGCACGTCCACGTAGTGCACCATGTGCGCGCGCGTTAGCGGCGCGTGCTCCGCGTGGAAGGGGCTGCCAGCGCTCTTGCTGCTGCCAGCCCTGCTGCTGCCGTGCTCCGCGTGCACCATCGGCCTGCTGCTGCTGCTGCTGCTGCTGCTGCTGCTGCTGCCGCTGCCGCCGCCGCCGCCGCTGCTGCTGCCGCTGTTGCTGCTGCTGCTGCAGGGTCCACTGTTGTTACCACTGGTAACATCGGTGCCACTGTTAGTGCCTGCGGCAGTGGCAGCGGTAGTGGTACTGTTGTCCGCTCTTGTGTCGTTGCTCATGGCAGCGGCAGGCGCAGGGGGGGCGGACGGAGCAGCAGCAGGTGCAGGAGCAGGGAGCGGGGCGAGCAAAGGAGTGGAGGCAGGGGCAGAGACTGGAGCAGGGTAAGACGAGTTATCGGATTGGAGGTTAACGTCAGAAGGCAACGATAGGGCTTCAACTTCGCTTGTAGGGCACCCGCACCAGGAGCGACCCCTGAGTCAGTTGCGACGTTGCTGCTGCTGTCGCTGGTGTTCGCAGCATTTACCCCCGTCGCCGATCTCGACTTCACTGCCAGGACTTTAATCACCGTACCCGATTTAAGCCTGGCTCTGTCGGCGGATACGGAAGGTGATAAGTACACCACTTGCCCAACAGCCATGAATCGAACAGCCTGCTTCTCGTCGACCTTGCTGCTGCTCTTTTCCGCGTCATCCTGTGTCTGCTGAGCTGGCAAGCAGCAGTGCGGCAGGTGGGACTGAAACAGCTTGTCAAATAAGCTGTTTGACGGTGATGGTATAATTCACGTGTGAAGCTGGCTGTTGGATCGTAGCCGTAGATCCGTCTTTCGCCGATTTAGTGGCGCGGTCAGTCCCAATGCTGCTCGTGTTGTTGCCACTGCCGTCAATGCTGTTGCTGTCGTTTTCAAAACAATGACTGAGCAGAGCAGCGGGGACTCTAAACCGAAGTGCGAACTCCATGATGCGGACGAGGAAGCTACTACCACGAGGTAAAAGAACTGATACGCCTAGGAGAATGCTGTTCGCCTAACCATAATCAGCCTTTTTCTGGACATGCGTCGCACATTCGCCGCTATTCTGACGTGCAGCTGATGCAACGAAAACTTGACACGGAACCCCTAATTATGTTTGGGTTGGGGGATCTGCTTGGCCTTCCCAAACATCGCCATTCCCCTGATTTCCGTGTCAGATTTTCCCAAGAACTGAGGGGGCGTTCCCACAGTTTCCCGACAAGAAAGTCTGCCCAGGCGGCTCGCAATTTGGCCAATTTCGAGAAATTTGCAACCATGCGGCTCGAAGTTCGACCACCAAGATTCCCATCAAATTGGTCGTGCAAGTGTTAATCCACAGCCGTATACGATCTCATCTGACGGCCCACGACGCCTACCGAAATGGGCTACGACCCAAACCCACGTTTCTGTGTTATTGCCCGAAGTTCAGCTACCCAGTTTCGGAGTCAATGTCATTCAATAACAAAAATGGTTCAGTGCGCCTCAGAATTTTTGGTTCTCGATTTTTCGGGCACCTTTTTACGCGGGAGTTAGAAATCTCAACCGAGTCGTTGAGTCCATCCGATTGTCAGATGTGAAGGCCTATTGGGTGCGACAATATTTTTTACGTATATACTGGTCAGAATGTAGCAATGTGGTTGTAACGGCTCGCAAGGACGCGGTGTCCAGAGTGGGGCAGTACCCCACTCTGACCACCATCCCGACAATTTTTTAGCATCCACTATGACCACCATCCCGACAATTTTTGAGCCTGGTGGGCAAACTTCGGTGTCGGGAAACTGTGGGAACGCCATCTGAGAGAACAAAACGCGGGAGATTCGAATGTAGGCTCGGGTTTCCCAAGGTTTGGCAGATTTAAAGCCCGCGGCCCAAATTGCGGGCCGCGCGGGTCAAGCTTTTAAAACTTGACGAACTAGTGTTTGTGAGAATAACGAGGAAAATGAGTTGACTAGGAAACATGTGGGTACAAGTAGGAAACCTAGAAGTGTTGTACCCTATAGTGTCTACCCCACTACAGCCTACACAGACTAAAGCATATAAGTTTGACACACCCCCATAGGCAAAGTGGGGGAGAACAAGAGGTCACAAGACCAGTCAAGCAAAGCACAGGAAGCTCAGGGTGGATCACAACGTCACCACACATTCCGAGCACAAGTTCAAGGCCACAAGGCCAGTTCACATGCAGGATTATATATAAAGGTAAACAAGCAAGTGCAGGTATAGAAAGATCACAGTACAAACAAGGTCAAGAAGTGAGCAAGTGAGGCCAAGTAGGCACAAGACCTAGCATCGTACAAAAGTGCTGATGATCACAAGGCTGAAGTGCCTTGATAAAGATATCAGCAGTGTTGGCCCGAGAGGCCACGTAAGCGAGGCGCAGCTGACCACGCTGCTGCAGCTCACGAGCAAGGAAGTAGCGAAGAGCAATGTGCTTCGTTCTGTGCTCCAGTCTGTGCTCCCGACACAAGGCCAGCATGGCCTTGTTGTCTACGTACAGAACTAGAGGAGAACGAGGCGGCTCTCCCAGGTCGGTCAGCAGGTAGGTGAGCCAGCGTAACTCCTGTGCAGCCATGGCCCCTGCGTAGATCTCGGCCTCACAGCTGGAGCCGAGAACAGAAGACGAGCGGGTAGACCGCCACAAAACAGAGCCGGAACCAAGGCTGAAGGTGTAACCCTGTGATGACCGCTGCGTAGCCTGGTCGTCAGCCCAAGAAGCGTCTGCGTGACCTGTGAGGACCACTGAACGCCGCCCTCCAAGCACGAGCCCCATGCCCGACGTACTGCACAAGTAGCGCAACACCCTCTTCGCTGCAGCCATGTGCTCTGGTCGGTGTCTCCCAGGAGCAACATAGCGTGCCAGGATGCTAAGAGGGTATGCAAGGTCAGGTCGTGTGCAGGTCATCAGGTACATGACGCAGCCAACAAGCTCTGGGTACGGGCCACTCGGCTCTACGGACTCATCCGAAGGCAGAGCTGAGAGCGAGTGGCGAGTAGACAGAGGAGTGGCCTGAGGCGAGGAGTACGTGAAGTCGAAGCGCTGAAGGACCTGCTGCACCATGTGTGACTGAGTCAGTGTGATGGTGCAGCGTGCTCTGTCCCGGGTGATCTGCAAGCCAAGGTAGCTGCACAGTTCACCCAGGTCTGTGCACGTGTGTCTCTTCTGCAGCTCGGACTTCACGTGGGCGAGTCCAGCAGTGTCAGCAGTAGCAAAGACCAAGTCGTCGACGTACACGATGATGTAGAACGGCGGCAAAGAGGTGTCGGTGCGTAGAAACAGCGACGGGTCGGCAGTAGAAGGAGCAAACCCAAGAGCCGCAAGTGTAGTCCTCAGTGTGTCGTGCCACTCACGGGGCGCCTGGCGGAGACCGTAGACTGGCCGCCGGAGGCTCCACTTGGTACCAGGAGGAAACGACCCAGTGAAGTCAGGTGGGCGGCGCAGCCAGATCTCCTCGTGCAGGCTGCCCTGTAGGAAAGCAGTGCTGAAGTCAAGAGAGTGGAGCTCGTAGTCGCGCTGAGCGGCTATGTGCAGCAGCACCCAAAGAGTGGTCATCTTCGGGGTGGGAGAGAAGGTCTGAAAGTAGTCAACTCCCTGCCGCTGACTGAAGCCTCGAGCCACGTAACGCGCCTTGAAGACAGGCGGAGAACCCGGCGGCCGCTTCACCCTGAAAATCCACATGCCACTGACGATGTTCGCCCCAGGTGGGGGAACCTCGTCAACGTAGGTGCCTGTGGACTTCCAGGAAGCCATCTCTGCGTCCATGGCTGACTGCCACTGAGAGGAGTAGGGACCCTCTATCGCCTCTGCGTAAGAGCGCGGAGTCGGGATGTCTGGTGCATCCGGGTCTCCCTCAGGGGCAATCAGCATGGACACGAGATGAGGTAAAGCAGCAGCAAAACACTGGAACTCCTCCTGCCTGTCCTCAAGGACGTCCGTGCTAAGACCACACTCACTCCCGACGGACGGAGGACATACAGACCTAGACTCAGCAACAAGACTAGCAGCGTAGTCTAGACGACGGTGAGCAGCGAAGTCGACAAGCTCAGCAACTAAGGCAGACGCAGCAGCGGCCTCAAAGGAAGGGTCAGTGACAGCAGTAGCCAGGAGACGCGTGACAGTAGGACTGGCAGCATGAAGAGAGTCAGACTCTGGGTCAGCAAGAGCAGGAAGAGAGGTCTCTGGAGGAGACGGCAAGGGGACACGCAGTGGAGCAGTGGAAGGACGCAGTGCCATCTGGTGCGTGCCCGGGACCGCAGGAGGACGCGGACGCGGAACACGACGACTAGTGCGACCAGCACGAACAGGCGACGCAGGACGAGACGCAGGCTCACGACGCTCAGCAAGACCTCCAGGAGGACCAGTGTACGGAGAAGGAGCAATCAGTGGGGAGGCGGGCTGTAACTGTGACTCAGACTGGACAGGCGGCGGACTATCTAAGGAAGGAGCAGGACCAGGAGAAGGCGGAAGACCAAGAACCTGCTCAAGGAGCGGAACGAAGTACGGCCGCGGCCGCGCAGCGCCTCCAGAACCAGCAGGGACAGCACCAGCACCCCCAGCGGCAGCACCAGCACCAGTAGCACCCCCAGCTGCAGCAGCGCCAGCTCCAGCACCCTCAGAAGCACCAGCTCCAGCAGCACCTCCAGCGCCAACACCCCCAGCAGCTCCAGCTCCAGCCGGACCACCGGAAGACGCAACAGCTCCAGCTCCAGCAGCTCCAGCAGCACCTACCCCAGCAGCACCGCCAGCTCCAGCACCGCCAGCAGCTCCAGTACAAGGAGCACCCCCAGGCCCAGCAGCTCCAGTACCTCCAGTACGAGCACCTCCGGGACCCGTGGCACCAGCACCCTCAGCAGCAGTAGAACCTCCAACTCCAGCAGCACCTCCAGCTCCAGCAGCACGGCTCCAGCGCTCGCAGCTCCTGTGGAGAGGGTAGCTCCCATCGGGACGAAGCACCCGAAGGACCTCCAGACCCAGTACCGCCAGACTCCACACGAGTAGGCCCAGCATCCTCAGGCTCCGCACCCCCAGTCTCAGCACCCCCAGGCTCAGCACCCCCAGACTCAGCACCCCCAGGCTCA